ACTTTGTTGCACTTATTGTATTCATAGTAGTTTGTTGCACTTATTGTGTTCATATTAGTTTGTTGCACTTACTGTATTCATATTACTTTGTTGCACTTACTGTATTCATATTACTTTGTTGCACTTATTGTAGTCATAGTAGTTTGTTGCACTTATTGTATTCGTATTAGTTTGTTGCACTTATTGTATTCGTATTAGTTTGATGCACTTATTGTGTTCATATTAGTTTGTTGCACTTATTGTATTCATAGTAGTTTGTTGCACTTATTGTATTCATAGTAGTTTGTTGCACTTATTGTATTCATAGTAGTTTGTTGCACTTATTGTATTCGTATTAGTTTGTTGCACTTATTGTATTTATAGTAGTTTGTTGCACTTATTGTATTCATACTAGTTTGTTGCACTTGTTTGCGCACGGTGCCCCCGCACGCTTTCTTAATTTTAATTTTTAATTAATAAATTAAAAAATATATTTTAATTTTTTTATTTTTTTTTATTATCAAAAATTATTTTTTATTTAATTTATTCACAATTATTTCTTATCAAAATGTTTTAATTTATCAAGAAACAAGAAGTAATAAATAAATAAGAGGCCTTTTGTTTGAAACGAACAAAAGTGGAACAAGGGGCTCTCAGCTGTGGATGCGCGAACTGAGAGGACCCTTGCCGGCAACGGACAGACCTGAGCTGCCGTCGGAGTGACCACGGATCCACGGCACTTGTGCCCCGCTGTCCGGTCACTCCCTGTGAGCGCCCCTGATTGCAACGAGAGGCTGCGAGAAGGGGGAGAAAGGCGAAGTTCAGGTCTCTCTCTATGTGAATCGCTCACCTGGCCTAATGTGAGAGCGTGGCCGATAGCTCACCCCTCCCTGATTTGCCTCAATGCCTCCGCTTAAGAGAACCTCGGACCGGTAGCTGATTTGCACTAAATAGTAATAAATTGCCAACACGAGCCCAGTATCGATAGCTCGTTTGCTTTCTTTTCCGAATCGCCAAACAGGGATATACTAAACAGTATAATCGGTCGCTCGAATAGCCGTTGGTCTTTATAAATTATTTTATTGAATTTATTTATTTTATATCAAATTTCAATTTATCTGTCCCTGCTCAGAGATCAATAGATATAAAGCTCTTCCAAAATCAAGCGGGACTTCTCCGGGTCTCTCTTCACTATAGAAAACTGGTGTTAGTATCTGTAAATGTGTGTGCGCATAAAGTATGCAATCAGTTGTGTACCGTGCTGGATCGCTGCAGACTTACCACAGGGGCTGGGCTGCCTCTCCCTTAAGAGAAGCCCTCTCCTCTCTGAGTTCCCAAAACAGTTGAAGAAAAAAGTCGGTCGGAAAAAGTTAAAAAAGTTCCTTATTTATTTTTGTCCAATTCAAAGTATATTCTCTTGGTCCAAATACAGAGAGAAAGTGATTAACAGGAAAATAAAAATCAACAAAGTATTTTAAAACCCTCTTGTGCCCTCAGCTGAGCAGGCTGTGTTCAATTGGAGTAAAACGTTTAAAAAGATTAACCCAGCGCAGGTTCTAACCTGATGGCTTCTTCCCCAACTCTCTTCTTTCCTTGAAGACCGAGAATACTTATACGCTCTAACCCCCCTGGGGCTTGGTGCCTCCGTGGGGTAGGACAGTATCAGGCCTTTGATCGTACTGTTTATCTAAGTCAGCAGTATATGCCGACACCATTATATCTGCTGGTACTCAGAACACATGACACACCCCGCTCACTGGTTGATGCCTTCAGGACACAGAGATACATGACACTCCAAACAATAAAACATAAAACACCTTTTATCCCCAGCGTAAAGACGTGGTCAAATGCCGGTGCTTAAGGCAACCGGGAAAGACCCTAAGTAATAAATCGTGAGTACAAAGACTGGCTGGCGCCCTCGGTATTTCCAGACCGCCCACCATGCGTGCAGCTGTGCATCCATCACAACATCACAAGCTCTACCTGTCAGAATAAGGCCAAGGTATTCTCATCTATGTGTGTGATCTATGTGTGTAATGCAGAATGCCAACCTCAGCAGGTGACTTCTGTGGGACCCCTTGTGCAATGGTGCGGAAAGCCCTGCTACCGTGTGTGTGAGAGTGTGTGTGTGTGTGTGTCTGTGTGTGTCCGTGTGTGTCCCCCCCTCCCCCGTACGTCCGTACGCAGAGGGTGTGTGTGACCACAGAAACATGTCTGTGCGACAGGTGCAATCTTATAAGAGACTCAGCTTCCTTTGTCTCTATTTTATTTTTGTTTTTCTAACTTTTTATTTGTTGTTTTTTAAGGTGTTTGTTAACACCTAATCACCCTGGCCTTCTGTCTAGGAGCATCACAATTTCGCAAAACACTCCACCATGTTTAACACACTTATTGTATTCATACTAGTTTGTTGCACTTATTGTATTCATATTCATTTGTTGCACTTATTGTATCCGTAGTAGTTTATTTCTGTACGTCTGCTCTGGTTTATGCTCTTAGATGCTTGTTTAAAGGAGATGCACTTATGACTTCTGGTGACTAGTAGTTCTCTTGAATACCGATGTTGAATACACTTATTGTAAGTCGCTTTGGATAAAAGCGTCTGCTAAATGACTGTAATGTAATGTAATGTACTTTTTACTGTACTACATCTGTCTGACACCTTTACTTACTTAACTTTAGTCACACTGCGCATGCACGTTGTCTCGTTCTACCATCCAGTTCAGCTTGTGGCGGTAAAGCGCATCTGGTTCACCAACCACCAATAACACTAACGAAGAAGAAGAAAGCGGAAACCGGGAACCAGGAAGTGGATGTCAACACGTCTGTGTTCTAGAGAACTCTGTTATTATCTATTATATTATACATATCTTATATATTAGTCTGTCTCACTGACGAACCTCCAGCAGTAGCGGTTCTCCCGGTACTTCCGGTCCAATATGGCGGCGGTGGTGGACGTGGAGGATGAGAGTATTCTGGCCTCGATCTTTAAGGACAGCTTCCCGGACAGCTGGAGGGACAACCAGGACTTCTCCGTCTACCTGTCCGAGCTCAGCTCCTTCGGAGTGGACAAGCTGAGCCGAGAGCCGGAGCGTCTGTCGGAGGAGCGGGCTCAGATCCTCCAGCAGACCGAAGAACTGGCCTTCTGCAACTACCAGACCTTCATCCGGACCGCAGACTGCACCCAGAACACCTACCGGGACTTTGGTCGCGTGGAGAGCAGCGTGACCCGGATGTTGGACAAACTGCCGGGCTTTGGAGAGAGATGCAGGTCAGTGATGAGGTTTAGTCGGAGTACAGGTGGACCAGACTACCTGATCCTCAGACTACCTGACTACCTGATCCTCAGACTACCTGATCCTCAGACCCTCAGACTACCTGATCCTCAGAACCTCAGACTACCTGATCCTCAGACCCCCTAACCCTCAGATCCGTGTTGTGTTCAGGGTCTTCTGACTCCCATGTGATCCGTGTTGTGTTCAGGTCCTTCATGAAGGAGGCGGAGCAGATCGGAGTCAGTCGCCGGATGAACAGCCTGACGTTGAACCGTCACACTGAGATCCTTGAGATCCTGGAGATCCCTCAGCTCATGGACACCTGTGTCCGCAACGGGTACTACGAGGAGGCTCTGGAGCTGGCGGCCTACGCCAAGAGGCTGGAGAAGAAGCACTCGTCTCTCCTCGTCATCCAGGTGAGTCCAGGGACCCGGTCCACACAGTTCACCAAGTAAACCAGGTTTATCTTTCGTTAGTCTGACCCAGTTCATTAGGTTCCATAAAGTCAACATAGTTCAAGCTCAGTCACCATGTGCAGACTAACTGTATATATTATTATATTATGATATATTAATATATATTATGATATATTATATTTATTAATATGATATATTAGTATATGATCATATATGTAGTGACTAGCCACTCGGCTGGGTACGGGAGAAGATCGTGTTTCCAGGCTTTTCACACTTTTGGATGAGGTTCCCGTTTAATTGGAGTTCACAGATGATAATACAACTTGATAGCACTTAGTTTCCTGGTCTCCCTCTGGTGTGTCTGGTTTGCGGTAAAAACCGTGCAATCTCCCCGTCACCGCTGAATCATCACCTTTGTCAGTTGCACCTGTGCCCCGTATATTAACTACCTGCCACACTAATACACACTGCCACCCGTGGTCAACCTGAGAAGGGCTCCCAATTCAAACATATAATACACATACATAACTAATGACTCCTACAATATATTATGATATATTATATACACAATATATCCTCAGGGGATCGTGCGTGAGGTGCGTCAGTCTGCTCAGCTGATGCTGAACCAGCTGCTGCAGCAGCTCCGCAGTAACTCTCAGCTGCCCGCCTGCCTGCGTGTGATTGGCTACCTGCGGAGGATGGACGTGTTCACGGAGGCGGAGCTCCGGGTGAAGTTCCTGCAGGCTCGAGGCTCCTGGCTCCGGTCCATCCTCGCCGCTGTGCCAGAGGACGACCCTTACTTCCACATCACCAAAACCATCGAGGCCTGCAGGGTCCACCTGTTCGACATCATCACGCAGTACAGAGCCATCTTCTCCGACGAGGATCCGGTGAACGAGGCGCCGGTGAACGAGGCCGCCATCTTCCACGGCTGGGTGGTGCAGAAGGTGGCAGAGTTCCTGGAGACCTTAGAGAGGGATCTGCAACGGGGCGTTGGGGGTCGCCTGGACTCCCTGCTGGGTCAGTGCATGTACTTCGGTCTGTCCTTCAGCCGGGTCGGGGCAGACTTCCGCGGGCAGCTGGCGCCGATGTTCCAGCAGGTGGCGGCGGAGATGTTCTGCAGAGCCGTGCGGGAGGCGGCGGACAAGTTCCAGGAGGACATGAACCGGTACACACTCATTGCCCTGCCGTCTGTTTTAGGGGGGGCCCCCGGGAACCAGACCGGAACCCTGCAGCCCCCCATGTCCCTGCTGGACTTCCAGCCGCTGGCCTGCTTCCTCAACAACATCCTGACGGCCTTCAACGACCTGCGGCTCTGCTGCCCCGTGGGACTGGCTCAGGACGTGGCCTCCTGTCTTCAGGACGCCCTAAACACGGTAAACTTTAACTACTTCATGTCTCAGGTGGGACCCGGGTCTCGTCTGGTGTGTTGATGTTGTCGGTCTTGTTTTCCCGTCAGGTGACCCGTCAGATCCTGGTGTTCCACCGGGCCGAGGAGTCGGCCTTCAGCAGCAGAGAGAAGCAGCTCTTCCTCCTCTTCTGCTCGGCCTACGCTGAAGACCTGCTACCGTTCCTCAACCGCTGCCTGCAGGTCCTGTTTCCTCCGGCTCAGATCGCACTCATCCTCGGTGAGGAAGACCAGTCCTGACCCGCATCCTCACCCGCATCCTGACCCACATCCTGATTAATATTAAACATGAATATTAAATATGAATAATGGAATAAACCTGGTCTCGGTCTAAACCCGGTCTGAACCCGGTCTGAACCCGGTCTCTGTCTAAACCTGGTCTTTGTCTAAACCCGGTCTCTGTCCAGACCTGGTCTCTGTATAAACCCGGTCTGAACCTGGTCTCTTGTCTGAACCCGGTCTCTTGTCTGAACCTGGTCTCTCTCTAAACCCGGTCTGAACCTGCTCTCTGTCTGAACCCGGTCTGAACCTGGTCTCTGTCTAAACCTCATCTCTGTCTCTTCAGGAGTTCCTCCCACTCAGCTGCACCGGTTCGGTGGTTTGGGCTCCATTGACCTCGTCGTCGTCCTCCGACCGCTGGACTTCCTGCTCCCTCAGAGAGAGACCCAGATCCAGGACCCGACCTTTGAGACCCAGATCCAGGACCCAGGACCGGAGTCAGGAGGGCTGGACCC